AGCAACATCAGTGCCTAGATTGTGTATGAATCGAGCTGTTCTCTGCTTTCGAGTGGAACTGTTCTCTGTCAAACGATGCTTTCTAGCATACGTAAATAATATTTACAGTTGGATGTTCCTACGTATAACTGGTTTGGATTTGAAATCATAATCTATCCATGAAGTTTTTTTTTACACTCTTTGGAGTCACTATGTTGACCCAGTTCAGGTTCCAGTAAACATGCTAGCTGCATGGGTGGGTGTGTCTTCATGTCTTTTCCCCTGTGTAAGGTAAATACGAGCCAGTTCCCTGTAAAAGTACCTCCATGAAGGCATTTCTTCTAAACAGCTAGCCCTCTGATAAGTAACCATAAGTAATCCTAATGATTTAGTCCATATTATGTAGTCTATTGAACGTACAATCCACGAAACGTGTGTGTGTGTACTAACGGACAATGAAATTTAAGAATTAATTTCTAAGATCTGATTAAATTAAAATTTCATACTATTGCATTAAAACTAAGGACCTCTCACCATGTAAAACAAAGTTAATAAATGGTAATCTGTCTAATAATGCAATAATTTAATATTTATAATAATAAGCTACTGCAGTATTTCAATAATCTTTATTACAATACAATGAAATTTTTATCATAATAAAATGCAAATCGATACACGTCTGAAGCCTTTCAACTTCAATTGCACCTGCCCCTTTCATTCTTATATTATATTTGATTAGATGCCTAGGTACTGCAGATAAATATTTCACTTGATTTTTAAATAGAGCTCAAACTGCCCAACTTCTTTTATTTGTAAATTTACGCCTGAATGAATTTGTACTTCAGACTTAGCTTTGTTAAATCCAGATAAGAATTATTGCAAATATTGGCATCGTAACTTGTTAGGAAACCTGGACTTCAAACTAATAAAATTAGAATAGATAATCATATTAAGAATAATGTAAAATTCTTTGCCAGTCCACCACACCCGAAAGATTTTTAGTTATGAGTATTATGCATATCGTAGCTTGTCCAGAGATTTAATTTCTTCAATGTTGCATGAAAATGAAAAGAATTCAAAGATACATAGGAAAATAACCTTTTTTAAAATCATATAGTGTTAAAATCAGAAACTTTCAAACTAGGTCTTTTTGTGTAACTCCTGCTTGCGAGAAAATCCCCTAGTTTGAACATCTAGAAAATTTTCCATTGGCTGTCGTAAAAAGGAGGTGTTTTCCTTGAGTTGCTACTCAAGGCTTTTTTATCTGAATATAAATGTTTTTTTAGTAACTAAGAAGTTATTAAAGTTTCATTTTTATATTCTTTTACTGTGAAAAGATACGTAATGCTACGTAATGCTTTTACTGTGAAAAGATACGTATAACTACGTAATGCTTGTTAGATTACTATTGAAAAAAAAAAAGGTTTTCTCTTTAGACTAATATTTGGACCACCGTATATATTCCTGTTTTCAACAAACCGTTTTCTAACAGATTTTTAGTAGTAATAATAATAATAATTCCCTTTAAAGCAGGTGTAAAATTTCATTATTCACTTTCATTAATATTACTAGTATGTATTTTATTGCCGTATAACACAGAAAGAAATTATGTAAATGAGGTATAATTTAAAATTTTTCAATTCGATTATGAATGTATTTTTGTGTTTCATATTTCTACTTAATATTATTGAGCTGTTAGAGCTAAATTCCTGTAATAAAACTCTTTCCATAATAGCATGATTAAAAAAAGGAAAAAATTGTTTTTTCATCTTCTTTGAATGTTTAAAATTACATGTCTTGCCTGTTGAATGTTTAAAATTACTTATCACATTTTTTCCTAATTCTATTTGTAGTTGATTTCGAATTGTTCAGAAAATAGCAACGCATCTCAGAAACCTAATAATATTTCAGTTTAATGTCTAGTTTAACTTAAACATTTTTTAATGTTTCTTTAAAATGTCAATGTTTCTTTAAAATCCTTTATGTAAATAATCGATCAAATGGCAAGCGAAGTGTAATATGGCAGCGATTATGACACACGAGTTTCTTCAAACTGTATTCCCATTCAATTCCTTATAACGTATTGTACTATTACCCATTCAATTCCTTATAACGTAATAACGATTCCAGAGTAGAGTTAACAGAAGTAATCCTGCATATTTAAACAATTGATTTTTGATAGCTTGATTAAATAATCTGAATACCTCTAATTGTTCTGCTGAGGATTTCTGCCCTGAGAATGTATGAAATGCCCTGAGAATGTATGAAATGTCCTGAGTGGCTATATCAAATAGTAATAACATTTACAGTCGCTTCTGATTAATTTTAAAGTGTAATAACATACAATTGTAAAGAAACAAATAATTCAAAGCAAATGCTGAAATTTTATAGCTACAGAGAACTATATAATATGAATTAAGTAAATATAACTTTCTAATGATGTAAATGTTAAAAGTGAATTATTGAAAATGTTTTCCGTTAGAAATTTTAAATATTTCCTTCAAAAGAATTTCATAATTATCTTGTGCCTGAGGGAAAGAATCTTCAGAAGAGATATGAAACTGAAGTTATTTTTATCTAAAACTTTTGAAATAAAGACATTCTTCAATAGATTTCAATCATTAACTTGCGCTATAAAGGAGGGATTAGTAGATTGTAAGAGTAAATAAATGTTCTCAAAAGAAACAGCGTAAAGAAGCTATAAGAAATGCATTAAATTTTGAAGATTATTATGCGTCGTTTAAGTGTCTTCAATTAACAAAAATTTTAAAAAGCAAAATGATATTAAAAGGTGTTTAAAAGTATCATTCAGGTAATTTCAGCAAATTAATAAATTCCGTTTTATAAATCAACATTGTACATCTATCTTAACTATAATTCGAACGCCACTGTTGTAATTGACTGTTTAGAAGTCAGGCTTACTATAATACACGCTGGAAAGAAAAATATCGTCAGCCTTTTATTTCCTGAAATATTTCTTCCCTAAATGCATGCTTCCGATTGTTATGCAATGCTCGGTCTTGAGGATTAATTCTAACTGATGCTCGATTCCATCAGAAAAAAAAAAAAAAAAAAAAAGAATAACTGCGATATGAGGGGTTTTCAGAATTATTTCTAATTGCTGTTCGATTTCATGTCAGGAAAGACGAACAATCACGTGATGAGTGGTTAAGTTGCAGATGCAGCTAGAAAGATATCAGAGTGATTTTAAATAAAGGATCATTTCGGCTTGTGTGGAGAGAGAGAAAATGTGTTCTGTTACCTTAATGAGCAAAGTGAGCTGCATTGCGCTGCTTAGATGAGCAGACATTCATTGCCTTGGGAAAAAAGGCTTTCTTGCATGTGAATTCTTTAAAAAAACAGAAAGGAAAATTGGAAAATATAATAAATTAATCAGTTCTTAGAGGCGGTAGCTTTGGCGAAAAATTCCTATTTATAAAAGCCATTTTAGAGCTGAATATCTTTAGAGGGATAAGAAAATGAAAGATAGACAGACTGTCTCCTAGACCTACTCTTTTTTTTTTTTTTTAATTTTTTTTTGGGGGGGAACAGATATTTTGTCAGGGTAGGGGCTTTCCACGGCGTCAAGTGTACAAAGCGAAGTACATACACCAGGCGCTTTTTCCTTGAGCGAAGTAGGAAAACACATGTGGTGCTTATTTTAATTGTTGCATGGTTATAATTGGTTTGAAAAATTATGCAGTAATTGTCATTAATAAATTAAGACCATGTGAATAATAAGATTTCCTTTAATTAATAATTAGATCAGAAGTTAAAAAAGAAAAGCATTACCTGAAAGGTCCTTTTTTGTTATTGTTATGCGAGAAGCAAAAAAAGTATAAGGAACAGTGAAAAGAGAGAAGGAGGAAGTTGATTCTAACAATTGTTTTGAAGAGCTAGCAAAGTGAAGTATAAAAAATTAAAAAAGTGTGAAATGTGGAGGGTAACTGATATAAAGGTGCGTTGTAATAGAAGACAGAAAGCAGAGAGAGAGAAAAAACTCTAAAAATGATAAAAATAATAAAGAGAAAATACTTTACATTATGCCTCACTTAAAGGACGATTAAGGACGTGGAGACCCAACAGCATAAATTATGGTGGTAACAAATTATCGAAAAATAACCTTTCTTTAGTTCGGGCGCGATTTGCACAGTCATTTGATATGCATTTTGAATTTTGAATTTTTTTTTTAAATTATGCAACATTTTATAAGAATTTGATGAATATTTTCTTAATAAACTCAGCGATTTGAAAGCGAGCAAAAGTTCGAAACAAACCTCCGTCTAGCGAGACTGTTGCCTTTCGACAAAATATAAGATTTTAGTCTTTCATAGGTATTAGTCTCTCTGCTAAAGTATAACAGACTAAGAGATTTATAAGGCAATAAACTCAATTCTCAATATATTTGATCTGATTGATATCCGACCTTGTACAAAAGACGATTTTCGGTCAAAATTTCTATTTTTATTTTATTACATAATCGTAAAGAATGCATCTTTAGCTATCAAATACAAGTTTTTGCTTGTTGGTAGGTTAATTAGAACTGAAGTTACAAGCATGTTTCTGTAACGGAATAAACCGGAAGTTCCAATATTCTAGGCCGGAAGTGAGCGTTTAAATAGACATACCTATTTAGAAACCTTATTTATCATCAAGATTTTGTAAATTATAAACCTTCGTACTAAGTTTAGATATTTTGTAATAGAATTTAAGAATCTGGCGATAGTTTTTTTTTTTTTTTTTTTTCCCCTTAATTTCGTATTTAGTTTGTTGCAGAGGGTATTCGACGTTGAATGGACGTGTAACTGCTTTGTCGATTAGCGTTGACAAAGTGCGTGATTTGAAAGCTATGTCACATTTTTGCATTATTTGCAAAAAAAATAAATAAAATGGAATGCAATCTTCAGCACGACATGTGTAAAGCGTAACTTAATTGTTCTGCAAATTATAAAGAAGCAACTTTGGGTATGGAAGCAGTTGGTGCTTATCCGCTTTTTGAATGATCTATTAAATTACGAAAGCTGAAGTACACAGACTATTGTGAGGATGATGATTCTAAAGAAATTTTAATTGTGAAAGATATATATGGTAAAGATTCTGTCAAGAAACTGGAATGCATTGGACATGTAGAGAAAATGGTTGGTAGTAGACTACGAAAAGTAAACTCCACTCCTGGATTGAAAGGAAAAGGTAAACTGACTGATTCTTTTATTGATAAGGCCCACCAGCGGCCGAGCGGTAAAGTCGCTGAACACTGGTAGTTCGGTCCGAGGTTCGAATCCCGCGAACGGGCTGGCTGCATGGGCGTTTTCGTGGTTTTCCCCATGTGTAACGTGTATACGAGCCAGTTTCCCTTAGAAAGTCCTCCACGAAAGGCATCCCTCCCTTTAGGTAGATAGCCCTCGAGGCTTTGCCATAATCACACACACACACACACACTTCTATTGATAAACTACAGAATTAGGTATTGCAATTAGAAGTAATGTTGGAAACTTAACTGAGATACAGCAGGCTGTACTAGCTTGCTTGCTCCATTGTAGCTCTTCTTCGAAGCCAACGCCCTGCTCAATCAACGAGTTGGTGCAACTATCAACGTGCGATTTAGGATTTAGGATTTAGGAACGAAGACGGGCACCACGCCTTTAACATTTGGTTAATTGGTTTAGCGCCGTCTCCCCACTACGTGATCCCAGCCGTTTATTGATATTAGCAAACAGATACAAAATTTGCAATGATACACAGTTTGGAATGAAAAAAAAAAAAAAAAAAAAAAATAATTGAAGCATAATGTATAAGATAGCATAATTATAAACGTACAGAATTTTGAATGTAATACAAAAATTTTTAACATAATATATTGCATAACTCTTTAAAATATGTGCGGAATTTTGAATATAATATGCGACGAAAAGAAATAGTAGTGATGAAGAGTAGTTTGTAGTTCCAACAAAAGTCTATAGTCTATATTCAGAATTCACAGTTCAAAGTCAATAGTCCATATTCTATAGATGTAGTACAAAATCTATAGATAAAAGTCTGCAAGTTAAATATTTTGTTTATGTAATTCATGTATATTGTTCAAATTTGCAGATTTTGCAAGTCAGTAGATGTAGTCGGCTCAGTAGGATAAGGTTCTTACATTCAGTAAAAAAATTGTACAATACAAACTGGCTAAATAGTTGGGAGCCCGATGCAGGCTAACGTGACAAATTCTTACTACATTAGATAAGATCAAAATAAATAACTAACATGATACCATCAAACTAACATTTACAATTTCTGGTATGGTAAAGAGCTGACAGAAATAATACAGTTGAACATATAGTACAATAGAACATAGTAACATAGTGTACTGATAATGCATACTAATATAATATAAAAAGAAAAGCATACAACAATTATTTTCTTATAAACAAGTAGATAAATGAAAAATGCGTAAAAACAGTAGAAAATACAGTACAGTGCAAACAAACCAACATGAAGTCTGTATAAATGCTTGGCTCAAAATTCGATAGGTAAACAAGAACATATACAAATGCTATATGCTATATAATATATATAATATTTACTTTTTAATTAAAAGTTGACAGATTCATACAGCGATAGATAGTACAATGCAATTAACTAACATGATGCCAAACTAACATTTACAGTTTCTGGTATGTTAAAGAGCTGACCTAACATATTGTACAATAGAACTTAGTAACATAGTATGCGGATACTGCTATACTTGCTAACTGAATAATAATGTTTGCTATTATTAAAAAAAAAAAAGTAATTAAATGAAAAATGCATATGAACAATCAACGTGCGATCAATCAACGAACAATCAACGTGCGATTGCAGAAAAGGAAAAAAAATCCAGAAACCTCTGATATATCAACATATATTTTGAATTTAAGTAAACCAACATATATGGAGTTGGCTACATAAACATTAGAAAGAATAAAAGAGTTATTACATAACATAAAAGAGTTATTAAAAAAGTGTATACATGACAAAACTCAAAATATCAAGGGACGTTTTAAATGGCATTTTATTGCAAATTTTTCCGAAAGAAACATTAATAAACTTCCGAACATTAATGTTTGGAGCAAATGCAAGTGTTATGTTATTTAATGTTATTTAATGATGGATTTATAGGTTTACTTGAAGCATTTTCAAGGTTAGGTATGTGTCCTTAATTTTATACTGAGCAGGGAATTCAAAAACTTGATAAAGTGCAAAATCATGACACTTGGCGGCATTCCACAAGCTTTACAAAAACCCAAAGAAAAAATTACGCTTTGTTCGAAAAAAAGGGCAATGTGTGTGAAAAAAAAACAAGGTGTCAATTACAAAGCAGGGGAATTTTAATTATCAGGGATGCTTCTTTCACTAAGAAATTGTTTTATGAAAAGTTTAAATTTGTTTTCTGAAAAATGTTTTTTTCTATAAATATTGCCAATGGTAACAGCCCTAACTCAACATTTTATGGATAAAATTAAGTGATACTTTCTATACATGTTTCATATAATCTGATGCATGCTCTGAAGCGGAAGATTTTTAGAAATATTAATTAGAAGTTGAATTGTTACATTTTATTTTTAGATTTTGGATGCAATAATAGGAAAATATACAGTAAATACTGTACATTTTGACATATCTCAAGCATATATGAATATTTCTTAATTATTTTTCTTCATTGCATACAAAACAAGTGTAAACATAAATACAAATTTAAAAAATTGCAAATTTATGTATACATTCTTCACCGTGGTTGTTGCTGTAAAGCAAAATTTAAGCAAAAATTAGCCTATTTTTTTCATTATTTTTCAAAATTAAAATTACTTAGCATTACGTTTTAAGCTGTTTTTACTCATTGATATGCTTATCTTGAAATTAATATGTTTATAGTTAAAATAAAAACCATTTTTTTAAATGGTACCCGAACGAGGTCGGATACCTTAAATGAAAATGCATTTAAATAATGAGATGTCTAATTAGAAATACGAAATATTTCTATGGAATTATACTAGCTGGGCACATTGAGTAATATTCTTATCACAAGCCGTGATATAGATATAGACGCAGTGTTAAAACAAACAGCTGCATCTACAATGCTTTGTTTTAATACTGCATCCTTACCTACGCTCAGTTGAGCTTTTAACGACAATCAATCTTTCACTTAGCTGCAGTTTAAGGCTATTGCATATGGTGCAAGGGAGCGTAACCGATGGCCTGACAATGGCCATCTGGCTAAACCTCTATTTTTTAATTATCAGATAAAACAGCAGCTCAGTTAATAAATGTACAAGTAAAGAAGGAAAGCTTCCATAGACGTAATGTAAACCAGTTCGACTATTGCGCTGCTATATCGGGGAGGGACAAATTCTTGTCGCCAAATCGCCAGGTTACAGGAAATTGAAGAATACGGTGCAAACAAAAAAGTTGTAGGATTCGTTCTTTGACAATTTGTGATAATTTAAGCTCGGATTTTCGTAGATTTTGTTACTCAGAATAAATAATCCATCAGTTAATTAATTTGCTTGGATTACCCATTTGATTTACGTAAATACTACAGGGAAAAAGTCTTATCACAGAACTTTGACAAACGTGACCTAAGCTATTTCACACATGCGCAAAAAGGTATTAAGGCTGGACTTGCTTCAACTCTATTTCGCTCTTGTGCAAAAATGTATTAAGGCTGGATGGATAGCTCCTGTAAATGTAGAATATATTTTTCTCTCTGCGCTCTGGCAGAGCCACTTCTGTGGCGATTTGGCTCAGTTATCCTCGCCTCAGTGCCAGAAAGTACCTACTAGTCGGAATTTATGGTCGTCGGTCAGAATTTTTGCAGTGAAAATAGGCAATACTGTTTCTACCACGAGAAACATTTTACCTGGAGTGCCTCAAGGAACATTACTTTCACCATATTTATATAACATTAACACTTACGCTATTCCTAAAAGCCCACAAATTACTATTGCTCATTTCGCAGATGATACTGCAATTGTGACCCAAACTTCTACAGTTAAGTTGTCTAGCTTTTTCTTCAAGATTGCCTCAATCATCTAAAAATTTGGCTCACTGTTTGGAGGATTGCAGTTAATACTGAAAAATCCAAAGCAATAACTTTCGTAAAGAACAAGCAAATTTTACACCACCAAGACCTCTTCTGTTTGATGAAGAAATTGATTGAGTTGACGAAGTCAAATAGCTAGGAGTCATTCTAGATAAAAAATTGACTTCAGAAAAAAAATGCTTTCAGAAACATCTCAGGAAAATTGTGGAAAAAATTAATATCACGTTTGCAACCAGCGCCCACTTCTTGGCAGAAGAAGTCATATGGCCGCTTCAAATAAACTGCTCTTATATAATTCGAGGAGCATTACTCTATGCTAATCTCGTCTGGTGCCACGCTGCCAAATCTCACCTTCAACACATCCAAGTTCTTCAAAACAAAGCAGTTAGAGGGATTATCAACGCGCATGGTTGATTCCAAATTCACATATCCACCGTGATCTCAAAGTAGACACAATTCAAAATTATATTCAAAAACTAGCCAGAAATTCCTTCTCTTCAGTTCTCACTCATCCTAGCAATTGCATCAACTTTCTAAGATATTCTACATTTCCCAGAGAAAAACTATCTATATTCATCTGACATTCTCCAACCTTAAAATTTTTATCTCATGCTGGACTCTTCAGCTCACTGATTTGGACCTTCCACCAGAAACTCACCTTATTCGTAGACTGATGGTGGCCACTTGACTTATACTTTCGTCTCATTTTGTCCATACTACTCATTTTGTTTCACCAATGGTTTTCACCAGATACAGAGTAAAAGGAAGCACTGCTTTCTGAAACTCTGATTCATTATATGTTCTTAGTAGTAAGAAAATTTTTCTCTTCCAGCTTGGCGACATTTCTGAGCATGCTTTATTTCTCCCTATTGTAAAATATTAGTGACTTATTTCCCGCTTCTTTTTTTGTCAGTTTCCATTTCCTTTTTTCCCCCGATGCTCATTTTCCCCTAAAATCTTTTAAATAAGTCCTCGTTTATTGCGATGTCTCTGATATTCAACCCACTGGCTTGAGATGAACGTTTTTTATTAATATTTATTGCGTTCAGTTTGCGGCAATGCAAAAATGTCAATGATATCTGCAGAATGAAGCTTAGTACCTAACAGTCAATCTGCTCTTCGAACA